ATGCTCACTAACCAAGCAGAAATGTTTGACTAACATTAGATCAGTGGGGAACACACCAGTTTTCTTCACTGGTGTGTCACAAGCCCACCCTATCAACACATACACACACCCACATTAATAAATAAAATAAAAATATCTGCAGCTCTACCGGGGCTCTAAAACACAACCTGTAACACAGTAACTTAACTACCATTAGGCTTCTTAAGACATTACGACATTAGCAGTAGACGCAAATGAACAACGTGCTGTGCCTCATGGGGGAAACATAACAGATACCAGATATTCCAGTGAAAGATCAAAACACACATGTTATTTATTCCCTCTATGCCAGCCTGTTAGGCATACCTCTGCCCTTTCTGTCTTCTGCCATATGTCCTACATCACTCTTTTCCCCCTATTACTGCTCACTTGCCTCCTCCTCCACCACTTGCCCTCTCTCTGTACAATTGCCATAGCCTCAGACTAATGGAAGTAAGCAAGCCAATTGAACAGTCCAAGCCAACAACATACACACAAACACACACACACACAAATAAGCTATAAATTCTATTCATATGTATAAAAGCAATATTCATGTAGAATAATTACATTTGAATGTATACATCAATTGACCTCGTAAATTCAGGTTTGCTCGACGGTAACCCTGGAAAAAACATAAATCATTTATATCACATGCAAATCTAATTTGCTTTACTCTGCAGTACATATTTAAAGCATTAGTGTGGGATGTTCCATCCATAGTCACACAACTTGAGCAGCCAGCAAGTGCACCATAATCTGTACTGTGGAAAAAGCAGATAGAGAAAGACCCGACCCTCTCCCTTCATCTCTACTTCCCCTCTTTTTTCTTCCATTTCTCGCTTCTTCTTCAGTCATCATCTCTGCTTCCCTCTAACTTCTTTTGCTCCTCATTCACAATTGCAATGTCACTCAAATAAGCACGGTATGCTGGCACAGAGGTCGGCATTGCACCATTCAAGGCTGGGTGTACTGGCAGAAATTAAACACATGCTTTGATGCTTTTATCTTTAAATCAGCAGCTACATTTCGCTTTCACTAAATCTCTGAATGCCAAACATCTCTAAATCTGCATCAGCAATCAACCCCCTGAAGGCAGCTTTTACATTATGCACTTAAACAACCAGGCACATCAGCTAAACAAGCAACCAGCGGGTGACCTTGGCCAACTAAACTATTCATGATCTGAGTGGAGCAGCTGAATGTCAAACCACTACACAGAAGCACAAGAGAAACTAGTCTCCCTTATATTGAACTTAATTTCTCTCTAAAAAAAGTATAAATAGTCGATGAAAGAATTCCATTTAAAGTTCCAATAACATCATGGAATCATATGTACCTTTTTTTTGTTGTCTGCAACATCAAGAAACACAGCAGCCCAGCAGAGAGTCATGTATTTGATGTCCAAAATAAACTACTCAGGTAGCAGGCTCTCATTTCAAGCATTGTTGCCTATTTTGTTGGGTCACTTGTAAACCCCTAAAATGCAATGCACCTGGCTAGCACTGTATAGACAGAAACACTCAGTAATCTAGCCTCATCCCTGGAGATTACTAGAAAACGTATTTCCACCATGTCAGACAAAGAAAAGCAACTCTACAACTGAACTCATTTTATATTGGTCAAATATTGCCCATCCAAGACATACAGACAACCATCAAGGTCGGTAGGTAAACCGTTTGCTGTTTGTGTAGATATGTACTAAATAACACATACATGGATGGGTAGCTGTACCAGGGGGCAGAAGGGTAGAATATTAGATGGAAAAACAAACAGGTTGAAAGTGAGGCAGAGGAAAATGAAAACCATGTGAAATCAGGACTCATGGGAGGAAACAGATGAGTGACTTTGTGCAAATGTCATCTCATTAGAAGGAGGAGGGAAAGAGGGAGCAGAATAACGAGAAGGCAACTGCAGCAGTCCATAGTAAATTTACTCCACGCTAAAGCACAAAGTAGGCCCCACACTGCGGAACAGAGAGAGAGAGATGGACTGTTCAGAACACCAGCCAGGGACACCATGCTCCATATTTTATTTTATGAAATTATGCCTCTTGTCCTCCCCTCCTCTTTTCTGAAAAAAAAAGAGACAACGACACAGATTTGTTAATCTTTCTTACATACAATAGCTAAAACTGTGGCACACTGCTGAGCAGCACAAATGACTGCAACTTTTCCCAAACTTGCAGTATTTTCAGAAAGGAGAGTGGGCCATGGTCTCAGGGGACCTGAAATTCACTAGCAAACAATACGAATGCAGAGCTTTAGAGCAAAGGCAGCAGCAGAACTTGCAGAGGGTTGAGATTCACCTTCTCTCCCTCACTCTCACTGTACAATTTTCTGCACCCCTTTCTTCTCTCTTTCTCCCCCACCTCTCACTTTCTCTCCAACATACTGGGTCAGCTGAGCTCCTGCACTGCAGCATAGATGAGTGATGTGTTAAAGGGTTTTTCATGATCTCAGTAGTAAGCAAACTATAGCTTTTTTTTTTTTTTTTTTTTGGGGGGGGGGGGGGGGCTTTTCATTATGCTTTTAAATTCTCTTTTTATGAAAAAGGACAATCTTAAACCTTATATTAATTATATTAATGCTTATATTAATTTGCAGAGGCACTGAAAATCATCACAAAGTTGTTGTGATGAAATGTTTCTATGCAGATGAAAATGTAGTCTTCTAGGACAATAATGTCCACATCCACAAGGCACAAGAGGTCATCAGTGAGTATGAAAATGATATGCTACTTGCTTTGCAATCACCAGAGCTCCACCCATTTGAACGCTTATGGGAGATTTTGGGCTCATATATTAGAGAACATGCTTCGTTACAGACATCAAAGCTCTAAATGAGGGCATAAATATTTAAAGGTTCTATTCCTACACAGAACAGATTTATTTTAAATCACTTAAGCTCATCACTATTGAATGAAATGTGCTTATATCATGTAAAAGAAAAGTCTTTCTGTTCACAGATGCTAGTGCTATGGCCAAACCTACAGCAGATTTAAATTTAGCACTTTCATGACACCACAAAGACAACCAGAAGTTAGTTGAGTCATCAGCATTATCACAGAAAACTTAGATAAGCTCTGAGAAACAAAATAAATATAGAAAGGCTAGAGAGAGCGTTACCCAAGTCTCCCACCACACACCAACACACATATGCATAAAAAGTAGAACGTGCCTTTGTATACAGCACCTGCAATAGACTGCAACTTCAGCACCATGGTCAGAGACAGATTGGCTTTTTCAGCAAACTGGAGATAATTCTCTGTTTCCCAAATGGAGAAAGCATATCACGCATTACACACACACACACACACACACACACACACACACACACACACACACACACACACACACACAAATGCAAAATATACATGGTCACAACCCTTGCTTCCTAACACGCTGTCTCTGTACTTTATACTCTTTCATTTCAGGCTCTTCAAGGCTGACTGTGTGTCTTTCTATCTATCTTCCATCATCCTATCATTATGTCCTCTGCCTTCTCCTCTGGCAAACTATACCACCTATAACACCATACCTAACACCATTTGAGATCAAATAAAAGTCTGCATGTCACAGTCACTTTTGGGTTACTGATTCCATACAACATAAAGATTTTCCACTTACATTTACATCAAATGCTTGGAATAAACTCAGTAGTTTGGAGAGCCCACAAAAGCTTATCTAATAAACTTGTGGTATAGCTTAAATGAGTTCATATGAAACAGCACGGCCATGGTCAAGGATTAAATCAGTCAATTAAAATAGAATTATCTGTTATTTGTGTTCGTTTGCTTGCATTTGCCTATATTATATTATACTTCATACATTTTTGTGATAACTGCATGATGAAAAAAGGCAGTCAGTCTAAAATTACCAGTAAACTACCAATCAGTTTTCATCAATAGCCTGATAAAATTAAGGTGGAAACAAACAAAAGCTCTTGCAATATCAGCACAGATCTTCTCCTTCAATATGATTTCGAATTTGTTTAAATAATTAGATGGAAGTCTTCAGAATTTTCAGTGATCCCAATACCCAATGGAGCCAAAGCCCAGAATCACAATGAAGCATTTAGGCAGGCAGTAAAACATAAGTAGAGAAAAGAATCCATAAAACAGAGATACGGTAACACAGTGAAAGCAAAGAACAAACCAAAACAGCACCAAAAAACCCCACATTAGCCTTGCTGGTGTAGAAACCTTGAGAGAAGGAATAGGTTAACTCAAATGCCAATTTCAACATCAATAGGTAAAAGCAATTTTCCACATGGAAAAGAAACATGCATCAATCCTGTTCTCCTATTGGTCGCCTTTATCTAGCATTCCACTAAAGTATGAAATCACTTGGAGATATTAGCGCAGGATAACAAGAGGATTTATTGGGATAAAACCACTCAGCATGAGATAATGGGACAAAGCCCAGCACTCATTTGTGAAATACTATGGTGGGTGGGTTAGGATAAAAGGTAGCCAAGATACTGGGGTAAAGCAAAATTATTAGTGATCCCATTTTTTTTATGAATCATTAAAAAAGAAATGATGGTGTGACTTGCGAGTCGACAATGTAATGCATTATATTTTTAATCAAATTGAGTGCACACTAAAAATGCTGATCATATATTTTGACCTTAGGGTCAGTCAGATAAAGGAAGCTTTTATGTGTGTTGCTATATATATATATATATATATATATATATATATATATATATATATATATATACGTGTGTGTGTGTGTGTGTCTGTGTGTGTGTGTGTGTGTGTGTAGTTGCATTTGTGCATAAATGTATCTGCATATGTGTGTAAGTGATACAATTTAAAGCAAGAGCAAATTTCATCAGGGAGCAGTGAAAAGCTTTCTGAAGCAGAAAACAAAGACCCTTGACTTTATGCAACCATGCGTCTACAGGCTTTATGTGAGTGTGGCTTCTACACATTTGAGCAATAATTATTTGAAAATAAACAATGAATACAACACAATGTAAAATGTTACATACTATGCGAGTTTATAGACCAGATCACTGATATTGGAGATGACTGTTTGACTAGCTAAGGGCATTCTTATTTAACAGGAAAATATCAGGTGTGCTACTTTTCTTTCACTTAATGTAGGCTGACACATATGAACCAACTCTCACCATTCCTACAAAACCCAGTACATATCATCCCCATTTTCAAAACAATGTAAACACGGCTTCCTTCCATAGATGATCACAAATGTATCAAAAACACAGAACTTCTTCTTTTAATAATTAGAATTTCACAAGATCCTATGACAGCATCTGTTCTATAGCATCTTCACCCAAATGTAGCAGGTTCAACCATATATTTCTTAATTTTTCTTTTTTGTCTGCCATGGGCCCAGAAATGAATGAGGCTTAAACATGGACATTTGAATTATTACAAAACATTAAATTAATCAAACGTTGAGTCCTGTGGAGCAGAATAATGGAGGTTAATTTACCTTAAACCATTTATTAGTTGTCAACAACAAATAAATATATATGTATATGTGCATGTGCATGTGCACACACACGCACATGTTTGTGGAGCAAAAGGGCAACAAATGTGAAAAAAATTAAGCGGTTATGAAACTGAAGTTAATCAAATTTATGTCACTGCATTTTATTCACATTTCTTTGTTTTATATATATATATATATATACTTTAAAAAGAATTCATATGACCATTCATCTGAATATGAGATTGTATGACCTTTTAGGATGAACAATTTGTGCATCACCTCATAACTGCATCAAATCTAATAAATGCCCAACTGAATCTGAACACCTTTTTATCGCCCTCCAGTGGAACGAATCCACACTGCTACTGTGGAGGGAGTCACAGAAATTAGATGTGCAAATTCAAAGAGCATCTTCCAATCACGTTTTCATTCACCCTCTCAATTACTCTTTATTAGCCTACATCAGCAATACCCGTTTAGATAATGACAATCGCAGCATGCCTCACTGATTTGGTATCAACTGCTATATCCACTTCAAACCCCGCAGCATTCACGTGACGTGTTGTGGCATTGCACTTGATTTTTGCTCCAGGTATTATCCAACTGAGACCAGCAATGTAGAGGTGAAAAAAACGGTACACTAAGACATTCAGCAGGTAAAGACCATAGGGAATACTATGAATAGACATAAAAATTTTTAGGAAAAATAAATAAATCTGGTTATCTTACCAACACTTAACTTAAAACGTATATAAATTTAGTACTAATCTGAAAAATATCACTAAGCTGAACTTAGTTTAAATGTTTTTTCCCGCTACATTCTTGTCTAGCACACTGTTATTCTGACTCTAGCAGCATTTTCTCATGATGGCTGACCAGAGCTTCATCATGCCTTTTTGTAACAGGACACCCAATATAGTCCCTGTCAGTAGTGCTCCACACACACGTCCCTGCCCAATTCAGCCTTTCATCATTTGATTGAAGAGTTTGTTTTTATTAAGAAGGCTATACCAGACGCATAATCACTATACACTGATTTAACATTACCTTTACAATTAAATTCTTCACTGAAATTACAGAATAAATATATGCACATTTTTCTTCAAATCTTTGTGAGAGAGAAAACATTAAAAGTGCCTCCTACAAAGCCGTTAGTGGGTGGCGATGGGGAATCCAGAAGTAATGGAGGGGTGGGGTGGGGGGTTGGGGAGAAGGGGGAGAAGGGTTGGGTCTTAACAAAGTGTGTGGAAATATCCAGAAAACCTTCGGCATTGTCTTATAGTAATATTCACAAATGTTTTTGCCATCCGTGCGTCGGCGCATCCTTTTTACGAGAAGCACCCTGATATAGACAGAAGTCCTCATTAATAGTAATAACCATATTAATAAGATATAAAAATTAAATAGAACACTGAACTGTAAATGCGTTGCAGTATCTCTGTTCATAATGTCATTGGATAGTTCTGAGAAAATCCTCTCACTTCCTGCACCGAAGCAAGTGCATGCAGCAAACTGCAGTTCATTTTAATATATATATGTATATATATTCTTTTTTTCTCTCTTTTGATCATTTCCTACAAACTTAATGTGCACGGCCTCCGGGTGTTTGTACATCCTAGTCAGGGGAAAAAGAGAGAAAGAAAAACCCCAAAATCAGGGAGACGTCCAGCTCCCGTGCGTCTTCAGTGAATCTGGTACAGCATCGTGTAATTCCATAAAAATGGATTTTAGTGACAGATGTAGGATGGTTTGTATGTTTTATTCCCCAGTGCCCCTCTTGTTTCTCTTTTCCTCTCTCGTGGACTTATTGAGATATTTATATATTATAAAAATAACGGCTGTTGACATTGCTGGCTACTCTGAAAAAAAGGCACTTAATTGAATTATCTGAGAATGGCCTCTCCTCCAAAGTGATTTGGGGGGGAAACATTGTGACTGTAATATAATATTTTATTTTATATCATGCTGCATTTTCAAGTTGGTTTTTTTATGCTTGTTTTGTTTCATTTTTTTAACATGGATTTTGGGTGAGTTTGTTTTGAGGGTGGCAAAGTGAATAAGTTGACGTTGTGTCTTTTTTTTTTTGTCCATGGGCTAGAGATGTTAAAACCGATAAGACTTTTCCAAGACTTCGAGGTAATCCGGCTTGGTTTGAAGTTTGGCCCTCAACTCAAGGTAATCACTTTGGGACGGGTCGGGGTAGCAACCTTTTCCCGCTGTGAAAAGCAACGTCTCCTTTAGCCGTGCATCCTGCTGCAAATCAGGGTACTGCATGCCTGGTGGGTGTGCATGCGCCACATGCATGTCCTTTAATTTGGGTACTGTCCCATACAAACAGTCTACAAAACCAACAGTAGGTGTGGGCCTCTGACTGTCAATCACTGTTGGGCAGAGCCCTCCATTCTCATGAAATCCTGCCATGTCAGCCGTGGTGTGGTTGGCTGTAACAATGGTGTTGAGCTGAGAGTTGGAGACAGCCAGGGTCCACTCTCTCTCTTTCTCTAATAAGGTTCTGTAGTTACTGTTGCTACTGCTCCCATTGTCTTTCTTCTCAGAAAACTGTGCTCTCTCCTCCTCTGCTATCTCCCCTTCTCTAGGTTTATAAATGGGGTTGTTACACATCTGAGTCACAGGATGAGGGATGTAATCATAGACGTGGCCATGAGCATGTGTGTGACTAGCATGGGTGTGTGTGTGCATACTCTGCGTAGGTTTCTCTGGTGTGCCAGTGTTCCCGGAACTGCTTTGCCTTGGTGGGTCCTCAAAAATTCTGCATTGCATTTGGATCCCTGTCAGATCTACCTCAGAACGTTTCCGGAAGGGCAACTTTTTCCGGCGACGAAGAACAAAAGCAAAAAGCCCAGCGGCCACAAACACAGCAGATATGAAGAGGATTAATAGGCTAAGGATGAGGACAGACAGTGGGACAGCACCTCTCCCACCTGCCACCCCCATGTCAGAGCTCCCTGTGGTGAAGTCATTCCCACCAGGCAGAGCTGGGGATGGGCCTGAAGAATATTTAAGCTCGGGACAGATGACTTCAACCTCAAGTGAACGCAGATCCTTCCCAAAAGCAAACTCTGGTGTCTTACAGATGACATCTCCAACTACAATAACAGAGGAGAGCTTTTCCAACCACTGTTTGAGGGGAATGATATCACAGGAGCAGTCCCAGGGGTTCTGATGGAGATCAATCTGGACAATCGAGGTCAGATGCTCCAGTACACCATGCACGGGCAAGGAAAGGAAGTAATTGTTGCGGAGGTTGAGACGTGCAAGGTTGGTTCCAGCAAAGGCATCAGTGGGGAGGGAACGCAACAAGTTGTCATTGAGAAAAACCAGCTGGAGATTTGGCATCAGGGAAAAGGAATGAGGCTGTATTTCACGAATGACATTATACTCAAAGTAAAGATAACTCAACATATGAAGCCCCCGAAACATCCCAGGGGTGAGTCTCTCAATGTCATTCCCATTCAAATATAAACTTTTCAAGTTCGGTAGGTTGATAAAGGCGCCTTCCTGGACATAAGATATCCGATTGTTACCTAAATGCAGTAAATCCAAACTTGAGAAGTTCCAGAAATCAGAACGATAGATCTTCTGTATTAGGTTTCCACTGAGATACAATTTCTTGGCATTGAGGGGCCGTGGAAGAAGCTCTGAGATGTTATGAAAGCTTTTCTCTTTACAGTTTACCGTTAGCCCCAGGTCATTGATATGAAGATTGCAAATACATCCAGCAGGGCAAATTATTGGAATAGGGGGCCTTGTTTGATAACCTGCAATTGGGGGCTGGTTGATGCCTGGGTAGATGCTACGAGGAGTTGGGGGGTTCTTTGTGGGTCGAGGTCGTTTGGTGGGTTTTACAACTCTTTCCTTGTATTCCACAGAAGAGGCTGTGTTGTGAAAGGAGGAGAGCATTGAGGAAGGTTTAGTAGGCCATGTGTTCTCATTGTTGAATGGAATCCTGGGAATTCCCAGCTTGGCCTCTATCTCTGCATCCGAGAGCAAAGGACAGAGCTCACTGCGTTTGATTTCCCTTAAGTCTTTCCCATGTAAGTGGAAAGGATATTCACATGTGATTTCACCCACTAAAGCTGTGTAGGGAATTCTCTCCAGCCATGTTTTTAACTGGACAATTTCACAGACACAGTTCCAGGGGTTCTCCTCTAGCTGGATTTCCATTAAGCTCCTCCCAATATACTCCAGTGTGCCCTTGTATGGCAATGTCTTTAGTCTGTTTCCTCTCAAGTCCAGATGTGTGAGTGACACAGACCTAAAAAGATAATTTGGGAGCACAGGAATCAGATTGTCATTTAATATAAGTACTCTCAATTTGTGAAGGTGTCTGAATGCACCACTTTCAATCCTTTTGATAACATTGTAATCTGCCTGGAGATACTCTAAACTATCCAAGCCCAGGAAAGTGTCATTCCGGAAAACTTCTAGTTTGTTTTCATGCAGGAACAGCCGTTTGAGTATTCCTAAGCCATTGAACGCTCCGGCGTGAATATCTTGCAAGGCGTTGTTGCCCAGATTAATGGATATGGCATTGTTAAGGTGGAGGAAGCTGTTAAAGTAAAGCTTCCTCATGGAGTTTCTCTGCAGGTTGAGCTTGAAGGGCCGGCTCCATATCTGGGAGATCTGGCTGATATTTGTAAATCCTTTATTGTCACAGTGGACGTGGAAGATGCCCTCTTTGACCTCACAGTAGCAGGGCTCGAAGCAGGGCTCGTCGATCTCCTCCGAGTCCTCCAGTAGTGGGATCGGCGTGGTCCATCCTAAGGCTATGGTGCTCAGCAAGGTAACCCACAGCATCCTTGCTGACACCAAAGGGATGAAGTCTTGGCTCCAGGGACAGAGCCACTTCACAACACTGCAACAGAAAACAGAGAAGGAGCGGAGGAAGGGCGGGGGTGGGGGAGGGAAGCGGGTGTCGTAATTACACATACAGGTACACGCATGCCCTCAACCAAGAAATGTTTGTGTCAAAAAAGACAGGCAGATGGGATAGAGAGAAGAGAGGAGAGAAGAGGAGGTCACATTAGTTTCAGTAGAATGCAAGGCAAATCTTGAAAATAATACCAATGAATTAGAAAATCATGGAACCCTACTTTCAATTTTGCAATATTGAAGAGTATTTAAAAAATATGTGTGAGGCATCTTTGTAGGGCTAATATGCTGCACAAACAAATCTCTACATTAAGACAGTTAACTTTACCAAATAGGATGGAAAAAGTCATTTGTTATGGAGCAAATATGCTGGTAAGCACGCAGAAAATCACCTGAGATATTTTTATCACATTGAATAAAGAAGGTAACCACAGCAGGGTGAGGTTAGTGGTGAGTATAAGTTGCCCCTTCGCAGTATTTATTGCATAACAGGGACATCAATCCCTCTTTCAATAAACTAGAGTCCAGAAAAGCTTGGTGGAAATGGGAGCAGGTGTTTTGAAGGTCTAACGCTGGATGAAGACGGGATAAGGTGCCCGCTTGGTATCCACAGTGGGGCTAAATACGGATTATTGTGACGCTTTCTTATTTTTTTTCTCCTTAAAATTAAATATCAGCACAATTAAATATCACTATTATGACTCAAGCAAATGTGACAGAAGAAATATATACGCCTGAAAAATACGTAAACAACGCCACTACAGCTTCACTGTCAAATGTAAAAACGTCAGTAACGTGTTGAAATAGGTAAAATAGTTTCGTTAATCCGATCTGCAGAAAACGAGAAATTACAGCCCTTTGCCTGGGGTTAATTCCCTGTATAACTGAAACATTAGTGTCTATTCCAGCGTAGTTAAACCTGTATTTTTTTTCCTAAAATGCCCTCAATTGAACTTTTTTTTCAGCTACTGAAAACATTTGAAGACTGGATGTGAATCGGAAAAAGTAAAGCGAAATAACGCAGTGGCCGAATCTGCTGCTCCGAGAAGCTAAGATGTAAGGCGGTATCTTCGTGGATCCAACCGTCATATGATTAATAAGATCATATATATATATATATATATATATATATATATATTGTAAAATGTCCAGTTGCAAAACAAAAAAAATGTTTTGTTATATAAAAATAATAGAGCCAGTCATCTAAAAGGAATAATAAAAAAAAAACTTATCAAAGATTCTTCCAAATCTTTACGGTAATAGGGATAAAGTATCTCCATCCTTCTCCCTTCGAACACACACACACACACACACACACACACACACACACACACACAGAGAACGTCTTGTCTTAATGCTGTGACTTTTCATACATGCACGCACAGCGCTCTCCGTTCAAACGAAGGCATTAAAAAATCCAGGGAGATGCCCTACGACTGTCTGTGGGAGTGAAGACGCTGTCCGTGGTGCTGAAATCAAAAGCCCAGCGACAAGGGTAAAAAAACGAAAGAAAAAAAAGACGGAAAACATGTTTTGTAATCCCCAAAAATGATGTGACGGAAAAAAGTAGGGAAAAAATCCTTCATGCAATTCCCTCGTTGAAAAAATCACTGTTTTCATTCCCAACTCTGTGCATAATCCTCCACGATTTATCGTTTCAACTTCCGTAGTGGGGATCAAAAAAGCGCCGATGCGATGCCAAAAAGGTAGTAATAAAATTTAAAGAAAATTTAAAAAAAATATATGTATATACTAAACGCCGTTTTATATTCCCTTGGGGTGTATCAGATCGTTTAACATACGTACTTAGTTTAGTAGGATTCCAACTTCACATATCCTCCTGCAGTGTGTCCTGTTGTTGCCCGGTGCGTCCCGCTTAGCGTCCGATGTCCGGCTGTGAGGACGAGAAAGAGAAATGGGGGGGGGTGTGACCGAGGCGTAAGAAAGGAACAGGAGGAAACACACAGAGAGAGAGAGGAGGGCATTGAGGATGGAAAGAGGAAGAGATGCGCATGTAAATGAGCCGGGGATGAGTTAAAAGTACTGCTTATCTTGCGTGGTAATTCCAGTACAACCTGGAAAAAGATTAAACTTGAATTTAAATCATACTAAGTTATGGTGAAATTATTATACTGCACAACTTACAGTCCAAAAAAAATAGAGAATATGCCCTCTTCGCGCGCGCGCGCACACATACGAAACCGTTGCTGTCAAGACAGAGCAGAGAGCAGAGCGCTTATTGAAATACATGCCAAGCATAATGCAGTAGGCTTTCGTCGTGACATTGGCAGGAAATTTCCGAATAAAGAACGAATCGGTTCACCACTGATCAGTTAACTAGATGCCGGTGATCCGTTATCCTCGATATATGAAGAACGCTTGTTGTCCCATTTTGAAATCTGTGGCTATGCAGACACCGATAAGCACGGCAACACACACACACACACACATTCATGCACACATCTGCGTAAGGCTCCCCATATGATGCACATGCACATGGAAACAGCCTATAACCACTCACCAATTGCAAAGCATCGGGGAAAGACCACTAGTTTGAATCTTGTTAGATCTCCTTCTCCCCTCCTCTCCTTTTCCCTCTCTCTCTATCTCTCGCCCTCTCTTCTTCTTCTTCTTCTTCTTCTTCTTCTCTCTCGATCTCTCAGTGGCTGAGGCAAAAGAGAGAAGAAATGAAGACGTGATAGGAATGCGATCTCTGCCACTCTCACTCTCCGGTTACTCTGACTCTCTTCCCTTCTTTCTCCTCTACATTTTTTCCCTCTCAAAGCAGTTTGCTTAAAATGCAAGTCCTCGGCTTGTGTCCGTCCACTTCCCCTTCCACCACTTTACCCCCTCCCTCCTTCTCCACAGCCGCCCCCCGGGTGCGCGCTCAACAACGGTATAGCTGGGTGCAAGTATTTTCCTCTCGGTTTCAGGACCGCGTTTCTTTCCGGCTCAGCAGTAGAAGGAATCTGTGGATCATATCGACTGTGGCTGGGTCAGCTGCTATCTTTTTTTCTTTCCCTTTCTTTTTTTCCTCGGGTATGTTTCCCTGTCGTGCGTCAGAGGAATGAGGGACAGAGCTGGGGAGGTGGATGGGGTGAGGGGGTGAGAGACGCAGAAAGAGAGAGAGCGATCTGGCGGCGAGAGAAAGAGGAGGAGGGGAGGAAAGCGAGTGATGGGGACGGCTGCTCTATGGTTCTGGATGCTGCCGAGAGGAGAAGAGGAAGGGAAGAGAGAGTGGGGAGCGCTCGGGCTTTCGCGGCGGGGACGCGCGTCACGGATAAATAGATAAATAAATGAGTGAGAGTCTGGGAGCGAGAGCCGTGCGGGCTGGGTGAAACTACGAAACCTGTGGATGACAGTCAGGACTCTCCCTCTCTCTCTCTCCTTATGAGGCTTATCTAATTATAATCACAATGATACTCAGTTCTTTCGCTGAGCATATTTATTCGGCGTTAGTTGCGAGAGCAAATTGTGGAGTTAGCAGCCCCTCACCCTGCCAATACCTCCTCTCACTGCTGTGGAAACGCAGAGGGTGGCCACGACTATCTACAGAAGGCGGGGGAGAGAGACAGAGAAGCACAGAAAGCTTCATTTTTCTCATCCACTTGCGTGCCTTCCCCCGCCTCGCCTCCAGCGGGCAACACAAGCCCGTGTTGTGAGCGGCAAACCAAGCCACAGCTCACGAAGACGACTGGGATGCACTTGCAAAGTTCTTGTATCTCTGCAAGGAGGAGGATGATTGCTGCGGACTGCTGAATTATCGTTACAGTAGCTGTGGTTGCAGCACAAGGCAAAAAAAAAAGTTTACGCAATGAAACGTCACTAAAATCAGCGACGATATCGGGTTGCTGGAATCCTTCTCTCATAACACGACTGCTGATTATATTTATGATACATTAAAGTCACTTTAGAGAAAGGATACTTCAAATGTGCGCAGGTATTTTAAAGGCTGTAGCAAGTCTTATTAAAATTATTCAGTACCTCTCCGAGTAAAGCAGGATAAGTTAGCTAAAATTGATAATCATTAAGTCTATTTGTGTAGGCGCAACTGTATTTTTTGTTTTTATTTTTTTAGTCATTTTTGAAAGTGTCCTGTCATGGTATTAGACAAGCAAACCTCCCCATTTGACAATCCTGTAGAGATTTACCACGCATGTCATGGTGGATTACTCCAGGCTAAACTGAGCTCTGGGGACATTCATGCTTTCTGCACATATGCAATGTTAATAAATAGTGATGTTCATAGCAAAAAATGTTGAATCTTGGAGTACAGAGAACCTTCCTATTCATATTGTAAATGTGTTTCCCAATTTCTGCACAGTTCAGTGCCTGTCTCACGCCATGTCATATTAAAATAACTGACACCAACACACAGTGGTGTCAACAAAGAAAAAAACATCTATCAAGAGTTACTTCTGGAGTTACAGACGTGTTAGTGGGACATGATGGAAATGTTTTGCCTGATGTGTTTTCCCTTGGTTTTCCAGACCAGTCACCATTCTATAACGATAAATAAAATACACACAAGCCTTAGGCAGTGCACACCCATAGACAGACACATATTGGACACACAAAAATAGATAGGAGAATAGAAAAAAGTGAGAGCATCTGGTGGACTGTAAAACTGCCATTCTTCTTCATGAGTAGCCATCATTCACCCTTTCAGACTGTCAGCTACTGTCAAAAAGACTGACATAAGGCCACTACAAACCCTTCATTCATCTCACTGGACATGGATGGCCAGAGTTTTTCACAGTACAGCTGCACTAACATACACTTTGGAGATCAGTGCTAATGAGACTACTAGTTAGAGCTTCCACTTTGAATGTTACAGCAAAACATTGATATGCTTGGGTTTGACAAGTATCATGTCACAGGAAGGGCAAAGAAGGACAGTAAATAATAAAAATGTAATCTGTATAACACAAAGACATGAGGTCACGATGTCAAGGCTAAGATGAAAAAAATGCTCAACAGGTTTAATGTGAGCACTGGAAGTAAACAAGTTCATAAAGCTGTTTTGGGGAATGAGGTAACAGGCAGATAAGTCCATATATTTATCTCCACTATAATCTCTCAAAGTCTCCAAAGACTGGAAGCATCCATCCATTCATCCATCCATCCTCTTCCGCTTATCCTTGTCAGGGTTGTGTGTGTTTGTTTGTTTGTTGGGGGGATAACACTGTTAGTACAACATCTGGCATCAACTGAGGGATTTCTTCAGCCTCAAGTAGCAGACAGGAAACGAACAGTTGTGCGCAGGTGAGAAAATTGATGACAACTCCAGTTGTACAGATCAGGAGGGCAGGTGCTCCTGGAGGAAACTCGCCCCTGAAACAGACACACATGCGTACACATATACTGAGAAAGGAGGGAGACAGATAGAGAGAAAGAACAGGGAAGAGAAACAACTAGAAAACAGAAAGTTGGCACAGGAAGACCAGGGGACCATGACATACGTTTATGGATGTTGAAGCAAAAGTATTGTAGTGCTAAATCATAACTATCAGTTAAGATATGAAAACAAGATTTAAATTTACCAGAAAAAATGCTTTGGTTGAGGTTTTTGTTTCTTTACCTGGTGTACTGCTATTAAATCTATTTGGTGTATTATAACTCCATTTATTAAAAAAAATATTTTCTCTCAGTTAGAAAGGTATGGTAGGTCTGTTAATGTTTATAAAGGTCAGTGGGTGAGTGCACTGTCAAGCAATGTCATCACTCTAGGGACGCTGATCGAGAAAGCAAAAATATGAGTATGAATTCGGGTAACATATTAAGGTTATCACTGAATAATAAACTGACCTCACCGACAACATCAATCATCAGAGACAATAAAGAGTATTGTAGTAAACTGCTGCCAATGAATAGACAAAAGGATGCACCCACAACAGCAAAGGGGTGTCTTTATTTCATAAATGCTTAATAATACATGACAGCAATAATAATATGTCAAGTATTTTTTCAGTGCTTTAGCAACTTATAACCAAACATTCCTATCAAAGGGTTGATTAGCAGGACTGCTTAAATAACATGTAAATATGCAAAATATCCATGAAATTAAGATAATGGTTGGGCATTTAAACTGACAGTTTTAAAAGCTAATGGGTTATTGCATTGTTAAAAAAAGAAAAGTTTTAAAAAAAGTTTTGTGTCCATCAAAAACTTTCCTTCTTTTTCAGCCTTCACCTTTTGAAACTTTCCATTACCGTTTCTCTGCTTGTCATCAGGGGTTTCAGTGACATACCTCATGTCCTTTGTGAACCACAAGGGATGGTGGAAGGCACAGTCAAATAATTCCCTATCTATCTGTCTGTCTATCTATCTAGCTGTCTCTCCTCATGCCAGTCTCCCTGACTGCTTGGGAGTCAGTGTGTCCAATGTGTCACTGGTCTGCCTTTCTCACTGTCCACATACACCACAACTTGGCAGCCTGCCAACCAGACCACCCGCCTGCCAGTCTTTCTACCTGATAGCCTGCTTATTTGGCCAACCTGCTGCATTCTTTCATGTCCGTCTGTCTCCGTGCCGCTATACCCATTTGCCTATGAGCCTGTCAGTGTTACTACATGACTGACAGATTTCCTTTAGGCACCTACAAGTTCTATCTTGTCTTATATTTATACTTACTAACAAGGACAGATTGACAAAAGAAGATGTGGGTAAAAAATGGAGAGGAAAAAAAACCCATCTGAGATTTATGTGCCACACGATAGCATGATTTAGTTTGATATTTTGTATCATACAATACAAACATACAATGTATTTCTTTATTATTATCATCACCTATAAGAAAATCTAAAATCAGTATGCACAATATTCATTACCATGGAAGTCTGTATATTTTTCTTTTGTTTTCTGTTTGAGTCTGATGTTGGCTGGGAAAAACAGCTTACTTTACACAGAAGTGTTTGTCATTAAGAATATGTCCTATGTTCAAAATATTCTTAGTGACAAACGTTGTTAAACTATTGTGTTCTCTAATGGTAGGTTTTTATTATTAAATAATAAAAAAGACCTACACTCTTTGTAAGTTTCACACACTGGGGTGGCTGTAGCTCAGGTGGCAGAGCAGGTCAGCCACTAAACATCGGTGGTTCGATCCCAGGCTGCATCCTTGGGCAAGATACTAACCCCTTGTTTGCCTACTGGTGCCTACTGTGTCTGGCAGCCTCGCCTCTGTCAGTGCGCCCCAGGGCAGCTGTGGCTACAATGTAGCTTGCTATCGCCAGTGTGTGAATGGGAGAATGACTGAATGTAGTGTAAAGTGCTTTGGGGTCCTATGGACTAGAAAAGCGCTATACAAATGCTGTCCATTTACCATCTAGCTTTGTGTAGTACATCTATGTACTCTCCGCTGTACTAGAAACACAAAATAGCTGTTGTTCTATATTTTATATCTTTTCACGTGCTCAGTACTTGCAGAAGTACTGCATGCTTTGCACTGAATTTTTTTTATGAAAAGAACAGACATTGTTTAAAGTCCACATGCATGTTATTAATACTTGGAAAGAAAGCTATGTATATATATTGTATAGTACATAGCATTTTAATTTATTCATAGTATAGTATTCACTTCATAGCATTCAATCCCATTGGTGGATAATATTCACAATGCTCTGTATTTTGTTGAATCATCCTGGTTTTCCTGGCATCCCTGCACCAATGGCTCTGGCTGGTAAACTGGGGTTCAAGTCCCCCTTTTTAAGAATGCAATCCAGAAGGGGTGCCTCAACTGAATCACACTCTTCAACTTCCACGGGAAAGTCTAGGGTGGGGCACAAAAGAGGAAAGTTCACATGTTAATCAGAAAGAACAATGCTGCTTTCTGGCTGGTTGTGAACCCCTGGACAATCTGTTTAGACCTCAAGGATACTTGAGGTGATATTTTCCCAGCAAGTCTAAATGTATTTTGTGGACTTGGAGAGCGCATTTCACTGACTCCCTCAGAGTATCCTGTGGGGGGTGCTCCAGGAGTGCAGTGTATTGCACCCATTGTCAATGGCCATTGTGGGATACAGATTATGTTATTGACCTAGAGGAGCTTTTGGCAGGGGAGAGAGGTCTTTGCATCTCTCATTAGTCTGGTGACTCCTGCAAATGGATGGACGGACGGATGGATGGATGGAAAATTAATACTTTATGCAGTGGCTCACAGATCCATTGAACATAATAAGAGGTCTTGATTGCCTACAGTAAGAGGCTAAAGATATAAGGAGTCTGAAAAAAGGAGTCCACAGCAACATTCTCTTTCAAAGTCTTGTAGTTCAATGCCTGGGCTTGTTTGAAATTTGAGTGCGAGAATGGGTGAGGGTGAGAATGTACC